AATCCTATCCCAAGGGTCTTTGTATATACAGGAATCTACACTACCCCGTGGTGCTTGCCTATCAATATGGATAAACATGGCCCTCGTCTTCATAAAAAAAACAGCATACATGTGTATTTTTCTAAATACTCCCATGTTAAACTTTGATTCTGTTTGTGGTACAACCTTACTCCCGGGTGGGGGGATTTTTATGAACTTGAATCTACATTACGTGAGGATGCTTTCGTATTGGTAGGACTATAATCATGGACAGACCCGCCGTTCCCTAATAGGGTTTTTCTTGTCTATTACCATGTGAAACTTTGATCTCCTTTAGTGACCCCACAACCCCGGGCTTTGATTGGAACAAACCCATAGAAATCTATACTACATGTTCTTGAAGAAACTTCTTTACAACGGACCAGTTACGAACAATCTTTAAAGATTGTGTAATACTACGTACTTTAATTTCCTATTATGACTCCATCCTACCCTTGAGGGACTATGGTTTTATTTAAATAACTTGAATCTGTACTATATCAGGATCGAGCTTTAATATATTTCATCGTTTCTTGCCCAGTAATTCTTAAAGGATATATATTTAGTTGAATTAACCCATTAGTTCCTATAAGAAGAAGATTACAGACGGACAGACATACAGACGAGAGATACTGTGGACAAAATATAGATTACAGTACGGGGTACTTTCTGGATGGATTAGTGGGTGCATTTGTCCAAAAAAAGTTTTCTGTAAATCCTTTCAGTATATTACAGAGAGCTAGGATGAATTTCAGTATAGGGGTCCTCATGTCCATACCTATAGAAAAGTCCCATATTATCTCTGAAATGTATTCTGGGGTTAAGTCTGTTTTTTTTAAAGTTTTTAACTTCACAAAATAAACTACATTGTTTTGTGGTCAACCGGCCAATACAAAAATAAGCCAAGAATGCTGGTAAATTTGCAACTTTTACCTCACTGTGTCCTTCTTTTAAAGCCCCACCCTCCTTTTTATTATTTCTTTTCAAAAATTAACAATCAAAAATCTATTTTTTTAACTGTAAAATAAGATTGCAGTACATAAGTTTTGATAGGTCTGCCGAGAAATGAAATTACAGAATTGTCATTTGTATCATGTGTACATTTCATTTTACCAAAGACCTGAAAAGGAGACCATTTTTCCACGGGATCCAATATGTGCAGAGCATTTTTAGTCTTTGAAAATTAAATAAAACCGAAAATCATCGGGTAGAGCGGCTGAGCCCCCATTCCCTTTGCTCGACCCGCCCTTGAACTTGATTGTTGTTGCATCTGCGATATCTATACCCTTTGTTATCCAGCTTTAGCAATAATGTTCTGGGTGGTAGGTATTTCTTTGCATATGATAAGACGATTCCCACACCAATGCTGTCGAGTAACCGATATACATAACGAGTTGTAGGCGTCAAATTTAATATTTCATAACATAGGATTACTTTGATTCATGCAACGTCTGCAAATAAGGCCTTGTACACATAAAAGATGCAATATGTCCGATGATGAGATATATTTCTACTCCTACAACCACCAAGTGCAATAAACACACGGAAAGGGTTTCTCAGCAAGTCTTTTTGTTTTCCTGTTTGCACTCAATGCACTGGTCGTGCACATTTCTGATCGGATGACAATACCTTCAAAGTCAAGTTTTTATTGAGCGGTCTTTACATAACCAGAAGAACACAACCTGGTCATCGTTTCTAAGGACCTGATACTGATGGTTCCGAAGTTGTTATTCACATGTAAGGAGAGAGTAGGTGTACAAGGATAGAAACGTCAAGAAAATTTGTAAACAAAGAACCACAAGGACCGGATGGTAACATACTGTGCTTCATTTTATGGGAGCAGCATACCGTATAGCGGGTTTTATTAAGCGGATTGTTAATTTTTTTTTTTTTTTGGCGTTTTGATGGTAGCCCGCTAAAATTTAAATCGCTAAGATATTCAGTACTCTTTATAGTGTTCATCTGCAAAGAGCTGAAACCTTGTGTCCGCTAAAATAAATTACGCCAAAATTATTGTTATAACTTTGAGGAGACAAAACGCCAATTTTTACACCCACCAAGAAAACCCGCTACACGGTTTATGCAGAAAGTTACCGATGCAAACGGTTCGAACTTGCAGATGAGCAAGTCTGAAGTAATCTAAACGAATGTTTCATTTAAACAGCTGTTAAACCATTCTATAACAAACAACTTGAAACACGTCTATATTTGAGGTATCAACTGAATCCTTTCTGTTTATATACATTATTTATGAAAGCTTTCATTTGATTGATGCTTATCAATGAGATAAGCAAGCCAAAAAATATCGAATGGAATTACCCAGGGGTCACACGGCAACGCGTTGACTTGGGACCGCTGGCATTGTGAGGATGGTCAAAGTCCAAGGTCAAGATCAAGAGATCAAAAATATTAGTACTCAAAGAAAGGTTTTGTCACAAGGATAGGAAATCAATCTTAAGCACGAACCGTTCAAAGTTTTGACAGAGGTTAACGGGTTTTTTTCCAAATGTAGGTCAAAGTCAAAGGGTTTGAATATATGGTACCCATAGGAAGAAAAGTGTCACAGTGAAATCTGTGTATCTGTGAAATATGAAAGCTCTAGCTCCAACAATCTGTAGTAATGACCAAGGTTAAGGGTTTTTTTTTTCCAAAGAAGGTCAAGGACAAAAGGTCACAAAGATATCCAAGGAAACGTCTTGCAACAAGAAAATACTTCTGGGGAAAGTCATTGCATCAACCATTAAAAGTTATGTCCAAGGTAAAAGTATTTCAAAAAGAGGGTCAAAATCCAATGTAAAGGTCAATTGATAAATATTGTTGATACCAACTGGAAGGTCTAGTCAAAAACCCTAGCAATGACCGTTCAAAAGTTATGACCAAGGTTGAAGTTTTTCAATAGTGTGCCAAACTCCGAAATGAAAGTGAAAGGGTCAAAATTATTGGTACATTGGTACATAGGGGAAGGTCTTGTGACAAGAATCATTAATATATAAATGCAAGCCAAAGTTCATACCCTTCAATATTAATGACCAATATTAAATTATTTTTAATTAGACCAAACTCAAACGACATAAGGACATGATCTTTGTGAAGTTTGTGTTCGAGAAAAGGTTAAGGTTTGGTAAAATTTTCAAAAGTTGTTTCCAGAAGAAAGGCCTTGTAACAAGGAATGCACAAGTGAAATATGAAGCTATGAAAAAAGGTTAATGTTCAACAGACAGATGGATGGACGTAAAATTTTTACGCAAAAGTTTGTTATACCTTTAAAAAGAGCAAGAGCCATCCAATGCAGAAAATGGCCCTGTACTTATATCAATTAATTAACTATCACCATCTCTCCCATTTCACATATCAAAATAAAGGTATTTTCTATAATAAAATTTCGTTTTGACAGATATTGGAAAACAGGTTTGAGAGATTGCAATGTTCTTGAATTTTGCAGAAAACAAATATATTGGTTACCAGAAGAAAGGCCTTGTCACAAGGAATGCATAAGTGAAATATGAAGCTATAGTCCCAACCAATCAAGAGACTGTTATGGGCAAGGTTAAAGAAAGTTCAACAGACAGATGGATGGACTGAGCATAAACTTTCTCCTCCGAATCTTCAGTTACGCGGCATGAAACCAAACTTGTTTGTTATACCTTTAAAAATTTGTTCGTTTACAAATCTATATGTAAAAAGTCTTAACATTCCTAATGTTTTACTGAGCGCCAGTGAGCGGGCATAAAAAATCGATGTTTGACCGCCAAGTAAGATGTTGGACCTGTCGATGAGATCTTGGATCGCCTACGTCACACAATGGGCGGAGCTTACACTCATTTGCAGTATACGTCGTTGGTGTTTAAAAGTGACGGACAGCGGACCTGAGGTTTACATCACGGAAGACAGTACAAGATACATGTATGCCCCACAAAATATTAAAATGAAAGGTATGGTAAAACATTTCTTGACTGTGTTCTCGGGAAAATGTGTTTTGTCGACCCTCGAACCAAACTGTCTGCCTTCGACTTAACGTCCTCAGGCAAACAATTTGGTTTTTGGGCCCGACCTATGTTGCCCTCGAACTCAGTCAATAAATGTATAATATGTATATAATAGTAGAAAGAAAATACAGTGTATGTCAGTCGAGGCATTATCGACACTTCATTAGTTTATATGCAAGGGTATTCCAAATCATGTATGAATTGTCCAAATGCCTGGTTGCCAAAAACGACAAATATTCGTGTCAAAAATGTCGCTGATCATTTTAAAATTGAAATCATGCTAGTGTTGACTCAATGAAAATTCAACAGGTGGTTTAATGGAAGTTCATTACTCATAATTAGAATAGCATGGAGTGAGCCTAGGTAAAGGCGATCAAACATCACCTCCCCAAATGTTTTAGGAAGTGTTGTAATGATCGCCATCTAACCATTACATTTACAGTATAACCTGAATATAATGACCACGAGGATGGCAACCTAATCTATGCGCGCCTTTGTGTCAGCTTGTGAACTTTTCTTAAAAAATGGCAGGGTTTCAAGTGAAATTAAAATCAACTTTTTGGTAGCATATCCTTTACAACACCATCTGTGCATTTGGTAAACTTTAAGTAAAGTGGTTTATTGTACATACTGTAGCTCTAGAAAGACAAGCATTATGTTAATTCAGGTGTTGCAAAATTCGATGAAACATACCACTTTATGACACTAAACAGGTTTATACCTTATGCTACTCCCGAGCTTTCGGCTCATCAATAATCCATGCGCTGTATTGTATCGGATGTTGTACCCCAGGTATCGCTGTGACACGTGTTAAAAATGTCGCCTGCTCTCAGCTCGGAGAGTCCTGAGTAGTCGCGCTTGGGGTACAGATGCTGGAACTATTGACTATTCATGCAACAGTAGACGTACAATGTAATATGTGGCGATAGAAAAAAATCGAACAAGTCCGATTGATGCTCTGTTGTCATGGCTTCGCAATTCCATCTACCATATTATCATATTAAATGCAGATAAAATTTTCATGAATCGCCGAGTCACATGACTGTGCAGTAAAGAACTGCTTATGAACATGCAAAAATGGTTGAGAAGGTTGCAGTTTTGGTAACAAGTGGTTCGAAAGTCCTCCGTGTAAATGGGAAGCATCGACATTATTTTTTGCGCAGGAAATCGAATTCTGATTCAAGAATAGTGTTAGTTCGCTATTGATCCGAAAAGTCCGCGGTATGCTGCATTCAACAAGCACACATTACTCGATATTGACGCACAAAACGTCATGCGAACTGTTGGAATTTGTGTTTTCGGTGTATTTAGATGAATAAATGTGAAATGGAACATGATGATTCTCAAAATATTCTTGTATGGAAATTCAGTTCTTTAATTTTCTGCGAGATTTCATTTCGAGTTTTGGCATCGTCATCCTCTGGCGGACCACTTTAAATTGTAATGTAACAATTCACATTGTATAGCACAAACAGAAAATAAAACTAGCTGATTATGTCCTTTTATACGAAATTACTAAAATCATCGTATAAAAACAAGGAGGGATTTTTCGGTTTCGATCAGGATTTATTTCAGGTATGGAATATAACATCCCAGTAAGGAAATCATGGGGAAGAAAATTCAATGTTTGGGGCGGTACGTCATGGACTGCCAGACTCTGGGCAAAGGCAGCTTCGCACGTGTAGAGCTCGCGACCCACAGTGTAACAGGATGCAAGGTGCGTGCTTTCATGTAACATTTTAAAATACTGCATGTGCAATATATATATATTATATTTTTTAAATTTCCAAAATACAGAGGAGTAGTATTATTTTCTCATTATAGATGGAATAACAATTATCTGTTGACTAAAAATTTGATTGATTAAATTCTGAAAATTGTTTGACTCATTGTATATTACTATATACTTTGTAATAAAAAAAAATACTTGCTGTATAATCATAGTTCTATATTAATCAAACAGACACCAAATTTGAATACGATTCAAAGAACTAAACACACAGAATATCGAATCATTCCTATTTTCAGAAATAGCAAAGTTATCAATTTTGTTTGTGAATTGTTATAAACTAGATGTATAGTTTTTCGTATGGAGAACTGAACACACGCGACCTATATTTTCTATGACGTCGACCACGCCTATACTTACCGCAATGTAACGGAACGCGACCAAACTTTTTTTCAGTATAGCAAACTATAGTTTCCTTGGGGCAGCATTTGAATATTGTATAAATTATATAGACTGACACAAATTTGACGATAAATTTGGCAGATATGACGTTACCTTCGATTTTTGTTCAAATTTATACAATTTATTATCATTCAACCTTGGATTTCAAACAAGCATCTTGCTGTGAATTGTCGCGGCACTTCCTGCTTCACTGATTAACGAGGTTTATTGTATTTTACTAGGTGGCAATTAAGATAATTGATACCCGTAAAATTAAGGAAGAATACTCTCGACAGAATCTACACAGGGAAGCCAGAATTTTAGCTCAGCTTCGCCACCCGAATATCATCCGACTTTACGAAACGTTAAAGGTAAGTAGCCAAAAAAGGACTCATTTCCTGGTTTCCAAAGCTTCGTTTTATTTTCAGTTTTGAGCTGGATATTTTTTCCTTTTGTATATAAAAAAAATGCCAATGGTTCATGTTTAAAAAAAATGCTAGCTGTTGTTGAAGTGTTTCCTTCTCTGCTGCTTCTCGTGTTGACCATCCCTGGTTTGGTAGCGGTCATGATGTACTTGAGAGAACGAGGGACACAAAGCTCTCTTCTGTAGAAAATTCTGAAATGTTCCCCACATTTCTTCTGGTTCAGACCTTTTTTTAATGTTTACCAAATAGATTTTTTAAAACTCGGATGGAATATATTAGTTTAGCCTTATAAAGTTTGTGTACTGTAATATCTCTAGATAGAGCATTCAAAGCAGGGGAACGAGTCCTATTGATCAACGCTGCATTTTGCATATTTGAACATACAAAGCTACATGGAAAATAAATCATTAACTGTTTTAAATTTTTGATGTTCTTCAAACAATTTAAATTGTGTAATTAACACATATATTTGAAAAGTAGGTCAAGTTTAATGTTCAAGGTCATGGGTAAAAAAAAATATCAAAGTACATTTGGTAATGCAGGTATATGAACATCATATATGAACACAAATCATATAACACAAATCTTCTATCATTTAATTAAAAATAAAATATTGCTAATGTTTAAATTTTCAAAAAATAGATTAATCTTTAAAAGCAAGTTCAAAGGATAAAAAAATCATACAAAATTTAGAAAGTCCGTATCACAGGTAATGCATGTGCATAGATGTATTTCATATGTACATTTGAAAGCTCCATCTTTTATCTTTCAAAAGTTGACTATAGCTAAATGATTTATTTTCATGGGGAAAAAAATTACTGGTTTTGGGGTGATTTCATTTTGTTGTTAAAAGAAAAACATTGCACTGTGCTATGAAAATTAAACATTTGTGACAGGATATGAATTTGTGGGTCTCTTCACACCACGAAAAACACAAAAATTAAATAGGTGGTTTCATAGTACATATATAAAGATACCATATCCTTGATTTACTTACTCGTTTCAGTAAATGAAATACAATGGATTTTACTGTAAAAGAAAGGATCACCTTTTTGCGTCCTTTTTTAAATTAGCATTTTTGAAAATACAGTTTTAAAAAACTGGTTAAAAGCAGTCTTTGTATATATACCATTAACCTTTTTCCAAAGCAACCCTTTCCCCTAGAGAGGATGCCAAGTCATAGGAGAAGCCATAGAACAGAACATCACTTATTGTAATATCCTCAAATGATAAGCAGACATAAATAATACATACACTAATTCAACAATGTGACACTTGACTGCAAATTCTAAATGTAAGTCACAGTTTTAAACTCCAGAAAATACCAGTGGCACTATGACAATCAATACTGTGGCTGTGCTCTGTTTTTTTGGGATAGGAGAAGGCTGATGACCTCTAATGAAAAGGAGGCTATTCTAAATAAAGCACAGAAGAACCTGCTTAAAATAGAAACAATTATAGAGTGAAGTCTGAACATAACTAAAATGTACATGATAAAAATATATTTCTGACACCTACTGTATTGTGGGTATTGTGCTTGGGAGTTCTCAAAGAAATCAGCAGATACCACTAAGAGCTCATGAGATATCACTAAGAATTCAAAATATAGAGCAGTTTAGTAAGCAATTTTATGACAATAGCCTGAAAATCTTTAGCTTGAAGCCTACCTTTGGCTATAAATACTAAGACTGCAGTTTTAACTTTGACTAAAGCAAGCTTGCAGTTTGCCTTGACTATTGCTGTGTACTCTTTGCCAATGCTGAGCTTGCAGTTTACTTTTGACTAATGTTAAGCTTGCAGTTTACTTTTGACAAATGTTAAGCTTGCAGTTTACCTTTGACTATTTATGTTGAGCTTGCAGTTTACTTTTGAGTAATGTTGAGCTTGCAGTTTATCTTTGGCTTATGTTGACCTTGCTGTTTACCTTTGATTCATGTTAAGCTTGCAGATTTCTTTGACAAATGCTTAGCTTGCAGTTTACCTTTGATTCATGCTGAATGTATGGTTTACTATTGACTTAAATGCTGAGCTTGCAGTTAACATTTGACTAAAGTGAAGCTTGCACTCTTGACTAATGCTGAGCTTACTGTTTACTTTTGACTTTAAGAGCTTAGAAGATCAGATTTCAGCCAAATAGTTAGATAAGTCCAAGCTTATTATTTAAGCTAAAGAAGGGCAACAAAGCATATAAACTAGCAGGTCTAGTAGTTCAGTAATAAAAGGGTTAGACCTTTACAATCGAGAAACAAGAGATAAGTGACATTAAGCTTATTAGCTTATCAGAATAAGTTAAGCTGAGATTGTACAGCAGGGTATTTTGGACAGTAAGCCCATTAGCCTGAGCATTGATTTTACTGTGAGCTTGACTTGCATGACCATTGCACACCAAGTTGTTTCTGTTTTTATTGATTTTCTCCCTCATGTCGGACCAGCGGTCTTCCCCGCCACTGACTTAGTATATCAAAGAAATGTCACAGTATCATGCTATTTTATATGCGTAGTTCTGTCATATTTTGTATTCATTCTTTCCATCTCCAGGAATGAACAGCTCTGTCAATTGTTTTACCCTGTGACTGTTTATAATAGATGATTTAAAAGGTACTCTGATTTTGTGTCAAAGAATAAATTCTTCTTGTTTGAAAGATCAGAAACATTGCAGGCAACCAAAAAGCACTATTAACTCTCATGTTCACTATTTTATTCTCGTCATCGCATGCTATTTGACATTATTGATTGTAACTAAAATCTAGTGCAAAAAAAAAATGAAGATGAAGAAAAGGAAAACATATATATCATACATATCTCTGGAAAATATTGTGAACCTTTTCAAACATCCTGCTTTACAATTCTGCTTTCAGAATTGGACTCTGACTTTTTAAAAAGTATTTGTTTCGATTATTTTTAATTAATTTCATGGTTAAAACCTAGACAAGTGCTTTCAATGATTAACTAAATCAGTCTTAATCTGGATTTGAATGATAGTCAAAAAGTTATGGATGATTTAAGGTCAGTGACCTGAACTACTGCATCAATAGAGAAGGTTTTTACTCCGGCTTAGCTTGGTAAGGGTGTCAGATTCCTTAGACTGGTAACTGTATAGAAGCACCTGTCACATTTAGCCAGAATTGATTGGAGTCCGATGAAGATGATTAGGAAAACAAGTCATTATGATTATTACATCATTTTCTCTGCTTTATTTGCATGTATTCAGTCGAGCTAATCCCGTTAATGTCCGCAGTGCAGCGGGCTTTGTAATTTCCATGATTGAGTCGATGGTTGTAGGGAGATAGACAATAGTGGTAATGTTGTGCAAGTGACATCCAGCCCACCAATGATCAGGGTGGATATTGTTTGCTGCAGACACAAATTAAGTCCGATTGTGATGGGATGACATTCATCAGCCCTTTTAGAGTGTGCGACTGATGATATTTGCTGGTCCCCCTGGATGGCTTAACTCCCTTTGCTTCGGCTCTGGTCCCCATAATCAGGGTCTGCATTCATTATAATGTGTTCTTTAGTGCAACTACGACTACTTGCAGCAATATTGCTAATTGTTGGAATGGCCTTCTGGGTATACCTGACCTTTGATGATTAGACGTTATATGGAAGTACATCAATAATATCACTCCTTATGTATCCTCATCAATGAGTCCCATGCTTTGTGGCAGGGTCCGCCATTATCTTTTGTCAATTTGTGTTTTGAAGTTATGTCACAGGATTTTTGTTTGGGTTCCCTGTTTTACTCAATTTTCTTCCTTCTCCATTGTTTGCATACTTCTATTTTCATCTACAACTGATTAACTCTCTGTAAGATTTTGTGATGTAATCAGATTTTATTTCAGTACTTTTAGATGAGCTGCATCACCTCTTGTGTTAGTTAGGAGAGAAAAAATCCATTTATGGTCAATGGCCTGTGAGACAAATATGATAGTTTCAAGTATCATGGAACAGTTTCGACACATTTTATTTTTAGAAAAAAAGATACATAAAACCAAAAAATACACAAAAATTGTGCCAATTTTTTGTATTCTTCACCAAAAACAGATTTCACTAGAGTTGCCAGAATTACGCATCAAACACACTTGTAGATTCTGGACACATCTCTTGGCTCAGCTTTTATGGTCTTTCAAATCAGTACTGCTATCAATTATTGAGTGCTAGCTACCTCAGCCCTCCCCGCTGGTGTTGTAAACATGATGTGTTTTGTTAGATACCCATATTATAACCTTAATCAGACATCAATTTTTGATGCCAAACATGCCAGTTTTATAAGCCTACCAGCAGGAGAGGTTGACTTTTATCAGAAAATGGCAACTACTGATAGTTTGCTGTATTTTAGTTCTGACAGACTCCAAAGCAATGAAAACAAAGAAATGTATAGGGTAATAAACTTGTATTTACTGAAGTTCAGATAAGTAAATATAGCATGATTGAACTGAATCCAGAATCATATGCTGATATCACACTTATTTGAATATAAAATTTGATGAGCTCATCAAGATAATGTTAAAAATCCATAGTAGTATTTGCATTTGTGCTCACAAGTTGGATGCTGAAATGAAATAGGTTTTGTTTTTCTCTATTTTTGAAGCATATATCCCTTTATAATTTCATCACAATAGCTTCAGCAACAGACACTGCAACCAGAAAGCATAAAAAGTGGCAAAACATACCCTGGTAATACAGCAACCACTTTACAACCATATAAACTCTCTCTAAGCAGTGGTGACACAAACAGTACAAAGTACTACCGTAAACGGTAGCATAAACCATTAAATCCAGAAAAGAAGACTGGAATAGGAAACCAAGAATATTCTCCACCTACAAAACAAACAGGAAACCATAGACCACCATCTCAAGTGCCACCTAGCAATAGCCAATCATAAAGCTACATTTACATCTACCACTGCTAATATAACCTGCATCATCACCACATTCAATAACAT